ATAAAAACTCGTCAGAATCGCTAGATCCGAACAGCTGATCGCTCAGGCTTCACTGGTGAAAATTCACTGTCCCGAATCACTTTCCGAAAAATATAAAATTTTCTATTATCATTATCACAATTAAAACATCTGACTGAAACAATTTCAGAGCTTCGGCCACAGTAAGACGCATTCTGCGACCTGTTCTTGTGGTTAGAACATTGGTATTCAGTGCACTCAAAAAACGAACTTAGAAAATGAACTGTTAAAAAAAAAAAATTGGATGTTTTTTCTCTCAAATTATCCACGTGTTGTTTAGTCCAAGAAATGAAACTAAAAGGATTTCGGCAGAGTGACTTTTCCTGAATAGGTTATTCGTACCTCCAAACATAAGAAACTATTACGAACGCGCGTGCGAAGCAAAATGTAAGAGATACACAATTGACGATGACACCGTTGTTTGGGCAGAACGGAACTTCTCAAACTACGCTCACACCGTTGTTTGGGCCTTAAAGAGTTAAGTCGATGACATAACAAGTTTGATAATAAATCATATTGTTTAAGTCGATGACAAAACAAGTTTGATAATAAATAATATTGTTTAAGTCACTGACACAAAAAGTTTGACAATAAATCATATTGTTTAAGTAAGTGATATACAAACAGTGTAATAAGCTAAATAATGTACACGATGTTAAAATGGAAATTACCTTTCACTCTAAAAGACCTAGAGGCAATTATTTTGAACCGTTGTTTCAAAACGATCACAATGTGATTACTTTTTTTTTTCAATTGAACTTTCTCTTTCCCTTCGTCCTTTTACACTTTCATTATTCTCTTTATTACAGAGGCCGTTGTGGCATAGTGGATAAAACAGTGGCCTGACAGCCAGATGATCATTCATTCAAATTCTCTTCAGTCATCCTTTTTTCTCTCCTTTCTTTTTCTTTTGTATAGAATGGCTTGTTGGTCTCCGGTTAACCCAACATAAACTGAGTCCCTGAAATGGTGGGGTGGAGTAGGCGACTGATGTGACATTGCCGACCTCCTCAGTAAAGTACAAGTTGGTCTGAAAAATATTGAGCTGGCATCATATATCCACACTGAAAAAAAAAAAAAACATCCTTAACTTAACAGTATAGAATAAATTTTTAGAGCCCTTCTTTGAATGTTTGCAGAATAAAATCTTGATGCTAATATAAGCTCATATGAAATTATCACCTGTGCGATGCGATACATCAAGTAGGTAGTTGTTCATATCCGGTGTGTTGGGAAATGAACAGGTGGACAGACTGGCTGGCTCTGGTCAACTTGGTGGAATACTGATACATAATAAGGCAGACGTGGTTAGTGCCTTGTGGGAGAGCGTGTACAGTTCAGATGAGCAGATGGATCATCATAGTCTGGTGAGATTGATGCAGGGGGAGTGACGAGAGGTTCTGACAGATGCTCTAGGCTCAGGGGAAAGGCAGGACGGACGTTAAATCAGAATACTCCTGGCACCAGTAGTATCGGAACTCTTCGCTTGCTGCTGAAGATGGGGACGGAGCGGTTATGGGAATGCCCCGAGTGCTGTGATGTCGGTTCTTGAATCGAATCAAATCAATCAAATCATCTCTAGGATCGCAGTCCGCAACATTAACATCTCAAAGATGAGACTCCCTCCTGTAACAACTCTCAGAACCCCGCGTAAGGTTACATTATAGTCCCCAACGGTTACAAACTAACTTGAAATCCTGATCAAACAGGGAATTGACGGAGAAGCTGCCACTGTATCTATTCGAGGAACTAGTAACGAACTCAGGCCCAGCTCCGCCCATCTACAGACTAGGTTACCTTTCACTGATTCTTGGTCAGTCTGGTCCACGTTGCTCAAAGTTACAGGGTTTCCTGGTCTACTGCTATACATTGCACTCTCTCGTGAGACCTGGGTTAGGTGTGTGGGGGATGGAGGTTGAGGTTAGGGCCAGTTGTACATGTAATGGGGTCGTTAAAGGCGCTCACATTCTGCAATATAGAGCCCGCGCGGTCGCCGGTAGGAGCGTCGACCAAGCTGACGTCCCTGCCACTTATACTTGCGCGTCTCACAGGTTAAGGCGGAGGTAAAACGTCCTGGCTGGACTCCGTTAATCATAAGTGTGTAGACGGGCCTGAGTTCGTTATATGTACCCCATCCGAGACTAAGCTTGCGCTTGATTAATAAGTGTATGCTAACTTAGTCCTGTCCATTTCTTTTGTTTGTGTGTTGTCCTATCAGATTCTTTTTTGCCCTTCCCTTCTTCGACTAACCCCTCCCCCCCCCCCTCCCTGCCCTATGTTCATTGAAGCACAGTCTTTGCAATCAAATCATGTCTCACGTGCCCAAACCAAGCTAGCTTGCGACGTTTTATCACTGCCAAAAGAGGCTCCTGGTGTCCTATAAAATGTGCATATTTTGTCTCTGACATATTGTATTATAAACAACACATTCGTAAAATGCGTCTACAACATTTACATTTGAAAGCCTGAATCCTCCTTTCCATTTACACAGTGAGAGTCCAACACCCACGTTCGTATAAGAAACTAGACAATGCCAGTGATTTTTGAATATTGGCCTTAACGGTGATGCTGATTTTGCTCTTCCACATCGTATTCAGATGGGACATCGCAGCTATTGCCATATCAAGTCTTGTTCTGTTTGTCTTCTGAGACTGAGAGAGAAGGGCAGACTGTGTGGATATCACATTGAAGAACAGAAGAACAAACAGTGCCAGCGTCTTAGAAAAAAAATATGCAAAAACTAACCTGCGAAGTTCGTGAAAACTGTACCTGACTTGCAGTCCCAATCATTGGGCTGAAGCCAACCCCAAACTCCCTGCCCCATGCCAGCATACAATTAATAATGCAGACAGTACAGATAGATTATATAACATTAAAAAGTATTTATAATTATTACAACAGTAAACATCCCAACGAACCCGACCAGCAGATTAAACAGAAAGCAACATTCAAAAATTTTTCGTCTACAGAATAGGACACTGCAGGCTTAACTACCACATGCATAAAATAAAGACGGTACAGTCCCCACACTGTGCCTGTCAGACAGGACCACAAACACCTTAACATATTCTGCAGGCCTGCCCACTATACTTAACATTTCCAAGAAAAACTTGGACTCTAGAGCAAGGTGTGCAGAGCAAGCTATGTGGAACCATGAAGAACCTGCAGCTGACACGCGAGTTCATAGAGACAACTCACCTGACGGTCCGACCTGAGCATATAAAACCGATCGCAATGAAGAAGATAAGAAAATAATCATAACAGAGAAGATGAGGTGTCTTCAAAGAGTTGGCAGAGTTAAAAAAGAAACATAAAATTGAAAATTAAAAATTAAAAATAAAAAGTTAAAGAAGACTTGGATTGAAACCAGAGATACAGTTCATTCCATAGCAACAGATCAAATGATTTGGTCGACTGGCGAGAATGCCCCGTTACCAGCTGCCACAAGGAGCGACGCTAAAGAAATACAATGGTCACAGAGCAAGGGAAAATTCACGCAGAATATGAAAGGACGGCATCAAGAACATTATCTTCACAAAGTGCCTTGCCAGCTGGCGTGGGCGTTCATGCATCTCCACAGATCTCGGTCTTTGGTGTTCTGTATTAATTCCACTGATGATATTCCTCCATGCCACCGTCTTAAGCCATCCACCATCATTTTTCTTAGTCTGTGTCTGCCTCTTCTACCAGTGATCTTTTCACTCGTCACATTATTTTCCAGTGCTCTTTATTCATCATCATATGACCAAAAAACTGTGTCTCCTTCTCATTGTTGTATCTAATTTTCTACTTTAATTAGCTATTTCTAGGCATTTCACTGTCAGTTATTCTGGCAGTCCAAGGTATTCACAATATGCTTCCCAAGAACCGCATCTAAGTTGCCTCCAAACGCTTCTTAATTTGCTTTCTCACATTCAAAGATTCACTGCCATACAACAGAACAGGCTCGAAATAACAATTCAGTACTCGTTTTCTGATGTATAATGAGAGTGATGTATTACATAAGACACTATTCATCTTCGGAAAAGAACAGCATTAGGGAAATGAAGACCGTTGTATAAAACCCTTTGCTAAGAGCACAAACACGATCCGTACGCCCCCAATACACTCTGACTCTTGTCTTGGTAGTACACACTAGCACTGTCGACTGTCAATCTCTTTATCTTGTTTTCCCACTTGCATCGTTGTCTATATATTGCTTTCTTGCCTATGATGTTTCAGTCAAGTATGGTTTTTTTAAAAGAGTGTTATGTCTTCTAATGTTGCCGATGTATCTTCTGTGTATCCATATTTTCAGAGACTCGGTTCGATTTTCTAGTTGCTTGTTCGTCGTCTTGATTTCTGAACCACCGGTTGAATATGCAAAACATTTGACAATTCTCATGTTTAAGGTGTTGTTTTTCTCTCTAGCTGAAGTCATTTTCGGTTATGGCTTTTAGTGTTACCAAAATGTTCACCGATCGGCTTTTTCATTTTTGTTTTTAAATCTCAAGCTTCTCTAGAACTTCTTTGACTGTTTTTGTGTGCATGAAATACGTTGTTTTCTCTTTATCCCGATGCACAGAGCCTGCATTTGAGATTCTAATTGTTTACTAATGATGCTCACCAACTCATATAACAGTGTTAACAATCTAGAACTTTCTACACGTAAGTTTTTAGTAATCAAATCAAATCAAAACACGTTTTGCTATAGTGTCAAACATAACGCTGCTAGAAAAGCAAGTAGGGTGTGTCCGTCTTGAAGCTGTCGCAAAACAGATGGCACCAAACAAATGTCAAATGTCAACATCTTTAAGAACCTCTGCCCAAGACTGGTAAGTGGAATTCGCCTTTCTTGTTACCAAGGTGCGTTGGGGTTCTCCCACAATTCGGCGCGTCGGGTAATTGGGTAAGTATGAATGATACCCCCCGGTAATTCTCCCGGTTCATGTATTCAGGGGCTGGCTATGTCGCGTTCGGGAAACCGTGGTTCTTCTAGCGACTCATGTGGGCCAATGTCTAGGCGCACCGCTTTGACCTGGTGGCATGAATCTTTGAAAGTGCGTCCAATCTCCTTTAACTTGTGGGTCAAAGTAGAGAGTGTGGTATGGGAGCGGACAGGACGCCTCTGCCCATCGCGGGTTTCCACATTTGGCGTCCTTTCCGTCCCGTTTCTCCTTCAGATCTAAAATTGCTGATTCTCTTCGTGGGGGAAGTGAGAACGGACCGAAGTATCCTGGTACGAAAGGAGGCCAACCTTTTTGTGTAGCCATGAAAGATCCGCCGTTTCTGGCAATGGGTGGTCTTTGTTCCAGTCTGGTAGGTGTGTCCACCGGAGGAGCGAACTGTGTGTTCTCATAGGCGAACATGATTGATGACTTCTTTGCTGTCTCTGAGGTAGAAACAAGAACCGTATGACAATTTGATCAGGATGTATTAATAAATAAATTATATTTGTTTAATGTGAACGTTGTCTTACGTTTGCTTGGTCTGTCTTTCTTTTATTTTTAAATGGCATTTTGATGCCCGCATACACATATTTACTGTTCAAACATCTATTAACTTGTATTTCCGATCGACGATTTCCGGTAGCAGGGGGAGCTAAAGGTCAGCTTATTTTGATTACGTCATTTTCCACTTGGGTCGATAGCAAAGCTGTGTAGAGTGGCAAGCATAGCTTCAGCGGTTTCGTGTCGTTAGCGTTGGTGCACCCAGGAGTTGCATACAGTCTATTCAATGAACAAGAGTTCTCTCATTGCCTCTCACACCAGCACGCCCGGTGACGAAGATGAAGGTGATTTTGCGAAAGGCTGCGTGCTGTATTAGATGGAGCCACCGTTTCCGTGTGTACCACACCTTGGTATTTTGTAGCATTCTCATCTCCTCAGTTCGTCTTGGAGGTAGGTAGGTAGTTGTACCCCACGAGGACATCACACAAGCGATAAACACCCGGTGACACAAAGTGCAACTATATGTATGAGGATCACCCGTGGATATGTCCCAGAAACCCCTTTCAGTGGCTAGGTCTAATCTATTGCTAGGCCATATCTATGTCCCAGCTATATTCAGGGCCCCCGGGACAAGCCAGGGTGGGGCTTCAAATATTTAAAAAAAAATTGCATCCCACATGGGAACGACTTTTGATTCTTGAAGGGAAATAATCCGTTGAGGTACTGTCTCTGTCCGTCTAAACCACAACAGGCCTCATAAAAGGCTGTTTGTTGCCTTTACATCTGTTGCATTTCATCGTGCAGTGCGTGTGTAAAGACATGGTGTAAAGACATGGTGAATGGAGATAGAACATCAACCTAACTGCTCCGAATTGTATCCCCTCTGGCTAAGTTTCTCTGCTCCAAGCGGCTCACTAACTGTAGACAGCTTCAGACACACACACAAAATTAATCCCGTACCTCTGTCGACACATCCCCGAAACAGTGCACTGGTGAATCAAATGAAACAGTCCAAGAACACATTCGCGACCATTAGGGCGCAATGCACACAGCCAGGCCAGTTCTCACTGAACCCCTGGTGTATATCAGTACTGTGTGCAGCCCCTTTTCCATTTGTTTCACAACACTCACACACACACACACACACACACCATTATCGAGGTGTGATCAGTTCACATATGTAAGCGTCAGCGGTAACGATTACAATGAAATGGGTTTTCACACGATATTTTCGACGTCGCATCGTTGTTGTGAGTATGCGTGCGCAGCGAGCATCGTCGTATTAGTAACTGGTAGCTTTTACACGTCACAATTTCTGTATGTGGCGTAAGCATGCAGCGAGATTTCTTTTCGGTACTTGTTATGCGTAAACCGGTCGGCCTATTTGTAATAAACAGTAATAGTAAATAATAAAAAAAACGTATTGTTCTTTGGCAATGGAAAGTGTAAGCGATGACTACAGGCGTTACATGTAAGCCTCGCCACTCACTCACACACACACACACACACTTACACATTCACACTCACAAACACATACTCACATACACACTGACACACACACACACACTCACACTCGCCGAATGACCATTTTCTTCCTTGTTCTCTCCTTCATGCTGTTATCTGAATGTTTGACCGCCCAGAGATTACAAAGTCTCACTCTGGATGGCAAGCCAGCAAGGCAAATCCCAGATACTCTGTTCAGCCATTTACTTTATGTCCCAAACAATGCAGCATGTGGCATTACTACTAATTCTTTTTGTAAAGAAATTCACTGTGTGTCAATATGCGATATGTTTTGGGTCTGAACCTACTAAAGAAATCTGGCACTATTGTACGCCTGTTTGCTAGTAATACATTCATACCTTTTCAATGGTAATTAACACCCTTCTTGAACAACTACAGCAAAATCATCTGAGGCTGAAAGAGTTAAAGGAGCTATACTTGGGATACCAACAACAGTTACAATAATTATGGTCTGAAAAGAATGGCACTGCGAGGTGCTACAAGGGGATCTGGCAGACACACGACACTCAGGGGAAAGGCGAGACAGGCATACAATCACACAGTTACTGGTACCATAGGAATTTCAACTCTTCGCTTGCTGCTGAAGGTGGGGACAGAGCGCTTTTGGGTGTCGCGAGTGGTGTGATGTTGATTCTTAATTCGGCATTTAACATTTCAACAACATTTACAGTAGCCAGATGAGGATCCATCATTTTGTTCTTCCTTTTTTGCGTTTACCTTAAAAAGGGGGGAGGGTGGCGGGCATGTTGTGTTGTGGTTTACAGCAAGGTTGCGACACATGCGCCCTTCAACCAAACACATCTGATTGAAGCAAATACTTACGCCTGTTACGACATGCTTGTTGGGGGCAGTATGTCTATTCTTCCCCTTTCCCTCACATACCCTCTCCGCCCAACATATCCTATACCAGCATACTCCTAATTATAAGCTTTTTACGACATGTAAGGAAGACTTCGTTGTTTTCAACGTGTGTTGTATATTTCTTGACATTAATGAAGAAAACAAAACAGACTGTTTTGGCGAACTGTTTAATTGTAAGTGCAACTCGTTAAATAAAGATGGATGAATATTCCACTTACCGAAATCTATCACGCCCAAATATATATCCAACGCAGGAACTACTTAAGATCGACGGTTAGAAAATCATACAACTCTCCTATCTCATTTCTCAACTACAAGTCAGGCCTGTCCGGTGTCAACAAACAAAGCGCCTAGCAACTATGACAACAAACTTGAGCGCCCTCTACTCATGTGTGTCAGAAATGTTAATGAATGGGTTTAAGAATGTTGTGGTCCTCGAGTATATGGTTCGGTACCCGCTACAGGCGATATTGTTTTTACACAGTTGGCGTGGTTTTTAGACGATGATAGGTTAGTTGCGTATTCTTTACAGGACGTTGCTGAACCAACCCCAGCAGCCCCTGGCTGTTGTGTTTAGACGATAATACGGTCACGTCTCGTCGGCTTCGAGATTTGGTAGGGAAATCCCCATAGTATAGGAGAGTTAGGGTTAGGCTTAGTTGTAGTCGTTATTCGTTTAACACTAGTCCTAACCCTAACACCCCCCCCCCCCCCTACTCCATAATATGGTAATGTCCAGGGAAATCCCTACGAATCATTCGGAATTCCCTACGAAATCTCGAAGCCGGTGTGTTTGGAAACGAGCATGCAGCGAGACGCTTCGGTTCTGCACCTCTTGTTTATGAACTGATGTATCACAAGCTAAATGTTGTAGGAGCCTTTTGGGGGCGAGTGAACAGTGCTCAGACACAGATCATTATAGTCTGAGGAGAATTTGCTTTGGGTAGTGAGATTGGACGTCCGTGTGTATATAAAAAAAAAATCCCTAGGCAGTTGGAAATCGAAAATATTAGCATAAGGCGCTGTCGGACAATATTTGGAGTTAAAAGTCTGCGTAAACGTATTTCAGGATCCCGCCGGTGCTAAGGAGTTCGTGCACTGCGTTGAGATTCTTTAGACTCAGGCTTGAGTTAGAAGTAGAACAAAGCATGCATGGGTTACACCCGTGTGCTATGATGTTGATCCGTCAAATAATCATAAACAAAAACATTTCTGTAGTCTTGACAAAGTTGCAGATTGACTGTTGAGTTGAGTTGAGTCAAAAATTCACATCACAGCACTCGGGACATTAACATATGAGCTCCGTCGTTATCCTCAGCAGCCAGCGCTGAGTTTTGATACTAATGGTGCCGGTCGTATTCTGGTTGTATGCCGTTCTTGCTTTTCCTCTCAGCGTAGAGCGCCCTGAAGACTGTCACGCATGAATCATCGTCTGCTCGTCCAGTGAGATCCTTCAGAATCTCGGCCGGGCCCATTGCTTTTCCTGTGTCTCCCGTGGCCCTGTCAGCAAGCCAATACCGGTGTCGGATTTAGGCATAAGCTACAACTGGGGGTCTTATAATCCAGGGGACTCCAAAGTGCCCTTATTTCCACAAATGCAATTTTCTTTTAATATGTTTCAAATACAAGTGCAGTGCGCTGAGCTACTTTGGACTCAGACTTGAGTTAAGAGTAGAACGGAGCACCTTTGGGTTACTACCCTTGTGCCATGATGTTGGTCCATTGTTCAAACCTCAAACATCAAATACAAATGTCTATCCTTTTCTCCTAATATATTTTTACCACCCTCTCTTTCCCAAATATTTTAACTTTATTAATGTTATTTTGGGCATACTGCCTCATGCTTTTTATTTTTTTTTATTTTTTATTTTAACTTGTAACAAGGTTCAATAATCTTCCTCCTCAAGTGGGGCGCAATTGTTCGATATTTTTAAGCCCCACTCTAGATGTTGCTAGGGTTCTTCATCCTAATGGTGGCACTTTGTGTCACCAGGTGTTTTTTGCCCGATGTGATGTCCTGGTGGAGTTAAACGCCAATTCAAAAGGATTGCATAATGTATTCTTAATTTTGTTTTCATTCAATAAAAATTTAAAAGAAATATATTTATATTATCCAAATATTTAAAAAGCATATATATTTTAAGTGTCGGCTCTGTGGCTAAGTCGATGCGAACGCTTCGTAATGCCGGGATACCGGGTACGACCCCAGCTGTGAGCCATGCGCCTTGCGTTGGTTTCGACAGTGGTATCAGGGAGCCGACCATCCAGAGGCAATGGCAAACGTCTTACTGAACGTAAATTTGCCCAGAGAAACCACACAACAGCCAGGGGCTGCTGGGGTTGGTTCTGCAACGTCCTGTAAAGGATACGCATTTAACCTTAAAGATTTATTTTAAACATGTTAACATTACCTGTGTAGTTTGAAACGGTAGAGACCTCTTTATTACATCTTTTCCTATCAACTAAGCGACAATATATTTCATTCGTTTATATATTTATTCTTCTGATATTATTTTGTGAAATTTAAAACATTAGTAAGTTTTCCATAGCCTAGGACTGCAACAGTCTACATCCGGTCCTCGATATGATGATTGTCCTGAGTAATCAGTTTATTTTAGTTAAAACAATATTACTATACTCAGTCGTGGGGCTATTCAAGAGGAGATCGGAGCACTTATAGTTCTGTCCGGAGTGCTTTGATAACAGTCTTCACTAATCACTATTCACCTAAAATGTTATGCTGGCCAGAATGCAAGTTGAGATTTCTCCAACTCGCGTCCGGTTCAGTGTGGAACCGAGATGGAGGCAGGCCTTTCCGATACAAAAATCCATCATTGGTCGTGCGACTCTGCGTCCCAGTTCCGGGAATGGCCATTTCTGGGAATAGTATCTCTTCCAGTCGCGGCTCTGGTAGAGGAATCAATTCCATTCGGTTGCAAGGGGTGTAACGGTCGGAGCATGAGGCAAAGCGGTCATCGTAGTAGACTGTTGTGTAAGAAGTGGGAATGATGGGTAATCCAAATCTGCTTGCTCCGAAGGGAATTGACTGGTTCGGCGGGAGTCTCAGGGTAGCGAACGGCCCGACGAATCCTGGAGGAATCACATCACACAGGTCGGACATTATGTTGTTTTCATCGGCGTAGCCCAACATTCGATACATTGGGGGTCCCTCGTCTCGACGGATCAACCGAGCGTGAGGGGGTGGGTACTGTGGCACTCGAAGCATCATGGTGGACGGTTAAAGGCAAGGCAGAGGTTATGACTCTAGTTGTTGACCAGTAACGGTTTGAATCTTTTTTTTTCTTTTTTTCATGCAATGGGCTGTTGGTAAAGAGAATAAATTGGTGAGAATGTACGCATAAATACATATAGTAAATAATAATTTCATTTTAAAAAAGAAACACTGGTGTGAAAGTCATACTGTTGTCATAGCAACAATTGGACATTATATAATGCAATTAATCGATTAGAGATACCCTCATCTTTGTGCCAAGTCATGCGGGTGTTCTAGCGTGCAGACTATCTTGCTGAAACTGCGGTTGCTATGTCTGGTCCTGTACTGAACAGAAGTGATGTTATCAATGCCATGCGCTGCACTTACAGTACCGAGAAGCACGCCAAAGGCCATGACTCCGTAGCCCTGTCTAGACTGATGGACATAGGGCTGCAGCCTGGAGCTGCAAGAAATGAACATTTCACCAAAGGAACAAAACATTTCATTACCCAACACAGAACAGACGTCATTAGTCGTTTTACACTTGTGGAGCTTTTGAGGAGGAGATCGGAGCACCTATGGATATGGCCGGAGTGCTGTGATGATAATCCTTTCTAATCACTAGTCACTGATTATAGATGGCTGGTGTTAGTAAAAGAGACACTACAGAAACATAACATAACCCAAGCTATGCAACTGGCAAAAGACAGCAAACTACATTGTCCATGTCCGAGAACATCCGGTAATAAGTGCAGCAGGAGCAGATCAACCCTGAGTTTCGTGAACTCAGATGGGCCCACTCTCTGTCTACGAGCTCGTGGACCGAAACATTTGTTGACGATGGATCACTTCTACTGACGGTTTGTAGACTACTGCTGTACATGCTCCCGTGCGGAGTTTCTTCTTATTATCTTACTCCCCTCTGCGACACTTTAGGTAAGACAAAATAAGAAAGAAGAGTAATCAGTTAGATAATGAAACTCGTAATGAAACTCCTGCTCTCCCCCTATCCTCTCTCTCTCTCTCTCTCTCTCACACACACACACCACCCCAACACACACAATCACACGCGCGCGCGCTTTCTAGCGATCTGCAACATGATAATGATAACTTTGATAGTTCTTACATTCAGAAATGCCCTCTTATTTGTATTTATTTCCACTTATTGCTATTTCTCTTCTCCGTCTCTGTGACTGACCGTCAGTACCGCCGAGGTATGTCAAATGTTGTTACCTATTCACCGGTCTATCGCGTTAATGGCCTCACGTTCACAGCAAACGGATGTTTTGTTATCTTCACAATTTGACACAAAGGGGACGCAAAGAAAAGTCCAACTGGGAATATCCGAATCACAGTTTTATGTCACTACATGATTTTGGAATGGTACATTTATTCTTCTCTGAGTTGGAGTCTGACACACCATCATCATCAGGTGCCTTATCGACTGGCGATGGCGATCATGCCTCTCCACAATCTGCGATCTCCTGCAGCATGTATCAGTTCGTGTGCCGAAACACCTCCATGCCATGCAACAGGACTGTCAAGAATCTTCTCTCGTTGTCTTCCTCTATATATACTTGCACTGCCTACTATTGCAGATAGGCTCAAAGTTCTGCAAACATAGTCATATCTCAGAGTAGCTGCTGACACGAGGCACCTTCTGCATTAGGCCCTGGGTAGAGCTAAGGGTTACAGGCTGAAAAGAGGAAGGTCTTGGATGGCGCAAGCTAAAGACACAATTGGACATGTGTGCAGGCTTTATTATTGTGAACGAGGTGAGGACTGAGTCAAAGTGTCCGAGAAAGTTTCAGACTTGTTTAGGGTTGCACCTAATCACTTTAGGTCATGAGTGCAGAGACTGGCCAGCTGCCGCTGCAGAATCAGAAGTTCAACAAATGATTCATGACAATTTCCGCCCAGGTGATGTGATTATCTATACTGATGGCTCTGTATTCTTCTTCTTCTTCTTCTTCTTCTTCTTCTTCTTCGTTCACCGGCTGTGAATTTCAGCGGAAGGTCCCGATTAATCGTCCGCTTGAACTTTTGGCTTTTACCAGGACCTGAGTTTTGCGTGTACAACCGTTTTACTGGCTTTTGCCGTTCCCTGCCTCACGGGCAGATGTACTCCGACTTCGAGGGAAGACGTCGGTCCTATTTCTAGAATGACTGTGACCACTGTTTTGTGTGGGTCGAGATGTAACCTTATGTGTGTGGTGACCTCTTTGTCCCTTTCTCCACAGGTGTTGCCCCCGGAGTACCCCCTTTGGGGTAGCCCTATGTGGAACGGTTAGCCCTCATAGGAAGGGCTGGAGAAGATCATGGGCATTCTCTGCCATCCAATGAGGCTTCCATAAAAGCAGAGCTGATACATAATGCTCTGGTTCTAGGCTCACCCAAGAAATCGTCACGTCCTGCACATAACTGCTTAACCTCACAGCCGTATTAGCTTCCCGCTCGACACGGGCTGTGCCCTCCGGAGATCAGCGGGGAGCAGACCGTGGGTTCTGGACTTAGTGACCACACAAATAGGTACATTCTTCTTCATTGCACGTTAGAAACCTTTAACGTTGTTTTAACAGTGCCCTTAGCACGACAGTATGGAGACGCATGCGTCAGGCGTAGCTTTACCTGTTTGGTCCCAACACTTGGGCGAGTGGGGCCAGTGTAAACGGACATTTGGACTTTTTTTCTAATCGGTACGATTTATGATGATCGGACTTCGAGCTTGTTTGTGTGCCGTAGGATCTGACTTTGTCGGACATTTTTACCTAGCCAGCAGATGAAAAGTCGCTGTCGTTGTGTATCTCAGCGCGGTTACGACGACGCTGAGGATTGACAGAGGATTTTTCGTAGGTAGGATCTGACTGCGAGAAACCACCCACAAGAGATGTTACTCGTCTTGGCTGCGGGTAAATCTCTTGGTCAAGGGTTGAGTCTCAGCAGCACAGTTTTCCATTCGCTCCAGAATTTTAACCGAGAGTTGTCATTTGGTGGCACATTTGCCAAGCAGACTTTACTCATATACCGAATGAGTTTTGATAGACTTTTCACCCATGCGTTTGCGGGCAGGCTGATGAGGACCAGAAAGGACACTACACCTCTGGGGGCCGCCAGCTCCGAAATCCCCTGCCAACTCTGTTAATGCTCATTTAAGACATTATCCGTGGCGCAGGACGGGGACGTGCAGCATAAGGTTCCATAAAACCTGAACAGTAAAGGACTGGTGCCCTAGTGAGGTACGGAGTATCTCCTTATGCACATCACATCAGACTTAACTTTCCCTCACGCCTGTGACCTAAATCACCGCGCCACGGCTCTGTATTGAAGGGCAAACGAAGTGCATGGGGGCAAAGTCGAACGGACGTCGCTTATTGCAGCAAAGCCTTGATCTCACGTCTAGTTTGAGAATGGACGTGGAGGCAGTCTTTGCTGCCTTCTGCTGGCTTGAGAATCAGCTATACACACATGCCGTAATTGTAACTGACTCACAAAGCATTTTGAGAAAGGTGAAGACAGGCATGCTTCATGCAGAGTGGCAAGCATCACTTCAAAGGTTTCGGATAGTTAGCATTCTTTTGATATTTTCTTCAGGGAATGCCGGTGTGTAGGGAAATGAGCAGGCAGATATACTGGCCGGTTTTGCACCACTTGGTAGTGAATTGATGTATGACAAGCTAGATATTTTGAGGGCCCTTTGGGGACGAATGAACAGTTCAGATGCACATATAGATCATTACAGTCTGAGGAGAATGGCGCTGTGAGGAGTTACCAGGGGATCTGGCCGACGCTCTTAACTCAAGGAAAGGATAATAAGGATATACAATCAGACAGTTACTGGTGCCATCGGAATTGGAACTCTTCGCTTGCTGCTGAAGATGGGTATGGAGCACTTATGGGAGAGTTGTGATGTTGATTCCTAATTCAACATTGAACTAACTAACCAACACTTCTTCTTATAGTATACGCTAGGTGGTAGGTTATGTATATATATATATATATTTATATATATTAGATATATATATATATATATATATATATATATATATAGATATATATATATATATAAAAGATGAGGTTTTAAGTTCAGATAACGGATCTACATCATGGCACAAGGGTAGTAACCCATAAGTGCTCCGTTCTACTTCTGACTCAAGCCTGAGTCCAAAGAATCTTCTCATCGCAGTGCACGAACTTCGTAGCAACAGCAAGGATCCTGAAATACTTTGGTAGATTTTTAACTTTTGCCCACACCGCAATTTCCAACTGCCAAGGGATTTTTTTACGCGCGCAACATTACACTTGTATTGTACACTTTTTTTCAATGTCTCTCTTACTCCCTTCCCTCATCTCTTTCTTGGTAGGCATCTTGCCTCGTAACCGGTTGTTCTCATGAAGTACGTTCTGGCTACTGCTCTTCCCCTCTGACCAAATAATGTAATTCTTTTTTGTTCAATGAAATCTTTTACCAGTACTTCTTATTCTGCTTTTTTTCCTTCTTCTATTCCTGGAATGCCTCGCAGCGTCAGGGCAGCAAGAAATCTCTGAAACGAGCCCTTCTGTTCACTTTGTATAAAGTACTTTTCAGTGTCTCTTTCTGCTGTATTCTGTGGTCCGTATTCTGCATGGTCGAACTCCGACTGTTACCATTGCAATATATAGCATTGCTCTCTGTGGTGTTCTAGCTGATGACAATCTAGTGTGCTGAAAACGAAAATGATATTTGAAAATATTGACTGGCTCTAATTTTCAAGATATATGCTACTAGTTAGTTAGTCGTTTAATTATGATCAGTTTACACATGACGCAACTGTTGTGAGCGATTCATCATCATCATCCCGTAACACTACATGTCACTTAGTCACTAGTTTCTGTTGACTGATCATCTCTCTCCACCTTTGCGATGGACTTCATGGTTGCATGCTTGAGGCCGGTCCAGTCAGTCATGTGGGCGATTGGTAGAAGCTAAAGGTGCCGGGCGAGATTCTGAGACCGAACCTCTGACTGAGGGCTCTTAA